CAGTACAGCTAGTACAGTATATATTTAAGATTTCACCTTTGCAGGCCTATTCAAATCCAAAATGTGTCACATCCCAAATTTCTCTGGGTGGCCAACCACGTTGAAATGCGTACACGCTACAATGTCACGATGAATTTCGATTTAAAGCTTTCGTGACTGCAAGGATTCATCTTCTTTGGTTCTTTCGGTAAAGTCACGTAGAATGAGAATAAAATAATAAATTGATAAAATAAAATAACACAATAAAATTCTCACGACGTTTCGGCCACAACACAAGCGGCCTTCATCTTGATGACGTTTCGGCCACAACACAAGCGGCCTTCATCTTGATGAAGGCCGCTTGTGTTGTGGCGAAGGCCGCTTGTGTTGTGGCCGAAACGTGATAATTTTATTGTGTTATTTTATTTTATCAATTTATTATTTTATTCTCATTCTACGTGACTTTACCGAAAGAACCAAAGAAGAATGTCACGATGGCTCAATATACACACTTGTCCAGAACAATAAAGTGAGTGGTGGTGTGTTCAAAGTTATAACAGAACCTGAGTAATACTGCCGAGGTTTTATCCAGGAGAGTATTTGCACAGATGCTACTTGGCCAAGTGGCACATGTTGTTTTTTCCAGCACTTTTGCAAATAAGCTGCATTACACGCCCCAAACTCGTAACCGTGTCCTTAACCCCAAACTTCAGCTGAGCCCTTATCCGGGTACACAACATATTAAACATACTACTTATGGCATGACCATGGTCAAGGAGATAAACATCATTGTTCATATCCTAAACTATTGACAATTAAAAGTGCACCAGTGTTGGTATATCCAAGATTGACTGTCATCAAATGCACTTTTCCACGCAACGCTTTCGAATTTCCAAATAGAACATTTTGATTTGCTTGAATACATTTACACTCAATGGGAAGATGAATGCTCACATCCTCTGATGTTGCCGCTGGAGTGTGGAACTCGCTTCCATCCCCCGCCCCGCAATTAGTGATGTTAATTCCCTGCTCCTGTCCAAGCCCAGGCACCAAGACATTTTTTTCCCCACACCAACAAAAAAAACTGTTGTACGAGCTTAGGTGCTGTCACTTATATAATAATCGTCATCGCTTGTGTTGTAATCGAAGCGTCGTAGTTTTGAATTTGTATTTTATTTACTTTATTTTTTTTCTATCTACGTGACTTTACCGAAAGAACCAAATAATACTGTTTGCCTGTTACTGTTAACATTTGTGTGGGTACCTTTCTCCATCTTGGTGATCCCTTCGCCCCTTTACTCCCCTGGGAGTTTTTTTTTAATTCTTCTTCAACCCCTCCTCCTCCCCTGCACGACGACACTGGACTGTGCCGCACTCATGGACAATGCACGGCACACAACAGGGCTCACGGCGGATCGCCTCACTTTATGGCTGTCACCAGAGGACACAGAGATCCCCCCCCCAACTCCCTGAGTCAGGACTCACTACGCAGCCCGCCATAGAAACTCCAGGTCAAGCACGAAAGCGTACGCCTTTGCACTCGACGGGGAGAAGGCTTTCGATTCGGTACAGTGGGGGTTTCTTTTTGGCACCATGCAGAGTCTAGCCTTCCCCCCCGGTTAATCGAAATATGCAGACTCCTTTATGATCATCTGACTGCGACATGTACTACTAATGGGTTTGTCTCAGAGGTTCCCTCTCACTAGAGGCACGAGACAGAGATGCCCCCTGTCCTGCCCCCCCCCCCCACCTCTTTGCAATTACAATGAGCCTCAGGCAGCCAGGATACGAAGTAGCCAGGAGATATTAGGTATTCATATTAGGTATACGCTACGGGCAAGCCGAAAAAAAAGTAAATTTATACACTGATGATCTGCTTACAATCACAAAAATGGACTCCTCAATACCTGCCCTCCTGAAGCTTATTGCGGTGCAGTCTCAGGCTATAAACTCAACATTCCAAAGTCAGAAATCATGCCTCTGTACCCCATTTCGGGAACACCTCCGCCCAACGTCTCCTGCTTCAGATTGTGCCCCTCCCAAATCAGGTATCTCGGGGTGAATATTACTTCCAACCAAGCGTACCTCTTCAAACAGAACTTCCTCCCGCCCCCCTTCTTCTGGAGATTGAGGCCTCCCTAACCGTTTGGAACGATATCCCACAATCACTCCCCAATCGGGTCCACTTGGTCAAAATTATTACCTATCCTAAGGCCCTCTACCATCTCGGGATGATTCCAACAAAGCTACCTCAGACATTAAGTAAGCTCCACCGCCTCATATCCTCCTTTGTCTGGGGACACAAGGTGGCCAAGATTGACAACCATACGCTAACTCAGGGGAATAAATGCGGCGGGCTGGCGCTACCTGATTTTGCGAAGTACTACTTATCGGGAGGCCTCCTTATGGTCAAGCATTGGGTCAACAAGAAGAGACAGCTCCTGAAAGAAGTAGGAAGAGGCATCATTATCCCTCTGGAGCCTTGAGGCAATAGTCCACTTGCACCCTAGAGATAAGCCCTCGGATTTTAAACCACGATCCTCAGTCAACACAACCCTCTGGACCCTGAGAAATGAACTGATCCATATCACCTTTGGCCTCCAGCGACTCTCCCCTGTGGGATAATTGGGGGCAAGGATTTCAGCTGGCCGGCTTGGAAAAGAGTGGGAATCAGGAGGGTGGTTGATCACTCGTCTGACTAAGAGGGGATGGACACTCTCCAAAACATTAGAAAGCGATGACATCCCTAATAGCGATTTTTTTTATTTATCCAGATCAGGGACTCTATTAACAAGGCAAGGGGTGTTGACCTCGGAAAGATACCCTCCCTGAAATGGGTATGGCTGACGGAGGAGAGGGTCCACTATAAAATCTTCGAGGCATACCAACTCCTACTCCTGGGCCCTACCGAGGTGAGAGCAAAGAAAAGGGCACGTTGGGAGGGGACGCTGGGCCACCCAATCCCATCATAGTCTTAGAAACTAATTTGGCACAACCCCCGGCAAGGTCTAAGATCCCTCCCTCTCAGGACGATTCAATTTCAGTTCCTTCATGGCACATATCTCACTAACCAACGGAGGGCTAAATTGTCCCAGACCATATCCCCAAACTGGCCAAGGTGCCCTCCGGGCACCATCCAAATGTAAATTTACGCCTTCTGGGATTGTCCCACCATCAGGATATTCTATGAAAAAATTACGGATCTGTACAACGTGATGTCTGGCACCGAAATACTAGCTGGCATTGAATCATCCCTCCTGGTCCTTAAACCCCAAAGTATCACCAGGCACCAACACACCCTTCTCCAAGCATTTAAAATGTCGGTTAGAGACGACCACCCTGAGCTCCTGGAAGAATCATGGGACCGCCTCATTCACCCTCTTGCATAACGCCCTATTCGCTCTAGCAGTTTTAGAACACCTGAGTCTGAAACTGAGGAATAGGGGAAGGGGAGTTCACACAGATCTGGGGCCCCCTAGTAAATGCCACTCCAAATACCCTGACTTTACTCAATTGAACTTACAATGAGACTGACTTCCCCCCCCCTCCCCTTTCCCCCTTCACGAAAGAAAAGGGATTTGACGCATGTACCACATGACGCTATGGTCCTACACGTCTGCGTTGGTTGTCTGTCTGAGCCGCTTATACCACTATGCACCACTCACCTGTCGCGGAAGACATACCCCCCCGTGGTTGGATCAATGAAAATCATTTACAAAAAAATAACCAAGTTGCCTACCAATACAGCTAGTGTGCATCTGTGTCATGGACCCTATTGACGTCACATGAATGGGAGTGCAAATGTAAAGGGTAAGAAACACCTGAACATCGTCATGCTGTATCTAAGGGAAATATGGACACCAGCTGCCAAGGAGCACAATTTACAAGCTGCCTGTCAACGTTTACGTTTTACTCATAGTGCTGAAGTGTAATTTACTTTGAGGCTGCCACTGGCCTGAGGTGCCAGTGGGTAATGTGTGGAGCCCCTCCGAGGCCACTGCCCATACACACACTGCGAAGGAGCGGCTACACCTGTATTGTTGAGGCCACAAACCAAACTATGTCAATGACAAAAGAAAAACACTCCCTAAGCCGACTGAAATGTCATCCGGAAAAACGAGCTTTGGGCAATCCACTCGGACACCGTGGTGGCTGTGAACAGTCAGCTGGCGAGCCCAGCCACCCCAGCTACAGAATCAGTGTTGGGTTCCTGCTACTGCAGCATAATATGTAAAAACAAGAGGAAAGTAGATCGAAGAGCTCAGTGGCAAAAAAAGACTGATGGGATACTGCAATATCAGAACATTTCACCAATAATGGAAGCCAGAAATGTATGTATACGTAGGTATAAAATAAAATAAATGTATTTTATTTTTAAATAAATGTATTTTATTTTATACCTATGTAACTTTACCGAAAGAACCAAAGAGTATGGATCCCTGCAGTCACGAAAACTTCAAATCTAGATTGTGTGTATGTTGAACTTTCGCACCATTACGTAGCCAACCGTGCTATGCGGAGGTGCGGGGAAGGGCAAATTAAACACAAAAGGCTGTTCTAAAGAAATGACTTTTCAATTAGAGATGCTGCTACATTCAAGTCAGGCCAAATCGAGTTCCTGCTCAAGTGAGCATTGAGGCAGTGCTCCGCCTCCCGTGTCTTCGAGTTCCTGTCGGCCCCGGGTGTGTGATGACACGGCCAGGAGACGGTAGCTTTCTCGCAGTGGCCCGCCTGCTACGGTGTTTTCGCGTTACCTTTAAATCACACACAATAGCGTCATCGAAGGAAAATGGTCGTCGTTAATCCGGATCGAGGGATGCCCTGCTAGGACAGCAGCCGGAGGAGATCTAGCAGCAGCCGTGGTGTCTGGAAGAGCGAAAGCGTTGGCAAGGTGTGGGAGTGGCGTCCAACACAGCTTTGGCCACGGTGACATCTGGACCCTGACGCTTCTGATGCACGTGGAGAAAACTCAAGCATCGACAATTCTTTATATGCAAGTAAAATAAACTTTATTTTTTTTGTTAAATTTGGCCCATTAATCATTGTACAATATTTACACGTGATAATAACTACTTAAATCATTTTATCTAAAATGTTTACGTACGATTCAGTTTAAAACGACACTTTCTATTCGTGGATTATCCGGAAACCCGTCAGCATTTGCGACAGACTTCACTGTCCACGTGAAAAACCCACACCGGACATTTTTCCCACAGGAAGTTTAATTTTTCCAGGTGTAAAATGCGCATCATCACCACCGTCGCCAAATCGCCATGGCCTTCACGAAACACCACCAGCGTGTGATACAAACACGACCTCTAATTTGCTCCATCTACCCAGCGTATACATCAGTTTACATACAAATGAGCGCCAGGACTTGTGAAGTGCTATTAGAATCAGGGTTGGTGTCGCACCGTCCTGCATTCCTCATTAGTGTACCAACACAATTAGGTAACTGTATTTCACAAGCCCAGGCAAGTGGGAAAGTTGAAGGCTGAAAAATCGTCCAGGGACTCGCACTCCACAGTACTGCAACGAGCGCAGATGCATAAAGAGGTGAACGACTCGTCAATCCACTGCGAGATGAAGCCCCCCTCTCCACATCGTATTTGTTTGAGCTGCATGAAAAGCAGAAGGAATTGCACAACGTGCCTTTTGTTGTAATGCCTGTGGCGATGAAAATTAAGTGGGGCTTAGAACATCACTGGTTCAGTATTTACAAACCTGTCTTTATCGCTTGCCAGTTTCCAACGGTTATCTACTACAATACACGATCAAAGAGAACATGTACAGAACAACTTTCACAATGTTGATACGCCGTCGATAATAAATTCAAGCGTACAGTACTTACAAATACTGGACAAGGACTGGCACTGCAAGCTCGTGAACCACGATGCAACGGCAATCCAGAAATCTTTCAGTGTCATGCCATTTTCAATTCATATTTTATTTATATTCTTGAGTCTTTCGGTAAAGTCACGTAGATAGGTTCAAAGAAAATAACAGCATAACACAAAAAAAATGTTTATTTTTACTGTATCTTTTTGCCACAATTGATGTACACATGTGTATCTGGCTGTGCTCATGACGACTTCATGGGTATGTAACAATTCACCACTTCCCTCAAGTTCATGATTCAATCCAAAGTTTCCCATTTACAGAACTCCTCTTATGCGTTACCATGCTACCCACAACTCCTATTGTCCGTGGAAACTCTTGGAGTGCAATCTTCTAAATCAGCAGCGCTATTCTTCCACGTACCCACGACGTACACCAAGGCTCACTGTGGTACCCCTTGCCATTATGCGCGCATTTTATGTTTGTGCACTTGAGTCGAGTGGCAAATTCCGCAAATATCCACAAATCATTATCATTCAGGATTGTTGAGTAAATACGTGGTAATAGGATCTGCAATATTATTCCCTCATTACTGTAAGATTTGCTCATAATGGACACGCACAACAATACTGTGCACGAGAATTGATACCTTCACACTTGCACGTGTGTTAAAATTATGTTTCACCATACGTAGCCAACCGTGCTCATCGGAGGTGCGTGGATGAAAAATTATTACACGTCGAGTAATTACCCAGAGGAAATCGATTGTTCGCTTCTCCCAAAGTCATAACGGGTTGCACGAGAACGGTGTAAACCCATGAGGCAGTGGGTTTAGTGCACCCTTATGCAATATACAGCACTGACATATTCAACATTTGAAATTCCAGGACCATCAATAGAAAACGGTCTTTGGTTTTCTGGCAAGGCTCATGAACGCATGCATTAAAATACAGCATTCTGTAAACATAATTCCTTTTGGAATAACACCAGTAACAAAGCAAAAACATCTGACATTAAGATTGTCTACAGCTGTGGTTCATTTGAACGACTCTACTGTTGGACAATGTTAATATCAATTCACCATTTGCCTTCTATCCTTAACAAAACGGTCGATTCTGACGTTCAAAAAAGTACCGAAAAAACTCCGCATCAGTCTCGATACACGCGGCGTTGTACCCCGCTGTGAGCCTTTTTAACTATCAGGAAAAACACCTCGACAATGTTTCATTGTCATGCCTTATTTCACCCACCTCTGCACCAATGCCATTCATTTATCATTTAAAAGCAAACTCACTTGGAGGCTTCTATAACAAAGTACCATGGGTGTGCCCTACCCCACCCAGTCATTCAATTGCCTCGTCACAATGCAGGGTGACGAAGCAAGAAACAACGCTTCGTCTAAGTTGACCGGTTTGTGCAATTCTGTGTTCTCCATTACCCGAAATGCAACATTCGCTTGGATGCAATTTCCACACATCTTACACGTGTAATAATTATCATTACAATCGGTTAATGCACAGTGAAATTAACAAACGACTTTCATTAGTTAATCGACGCATCCATCGTCGCGCCCCTAAAAGGCCTTGCGGCATTCCAGCCAATTACAACTCAGCAACAAACGAACCAACATTGTTGAATGACCTCAATTTGGCATGCGCCGCACAACAACGCCCAGTCCCTCTAAATACATCCAGATCACAACAACAGCACCTTGCTTCAAATTTTTAAACGAGCACGAAGAGACCAAAACAATTACAAATATATACTTTTGCATTCAGCAGGTACACACACATCAAATCACTGCTTTGACCAGGCAAGAACCGGACACATTACTGGAATTCCACCCCATGTCTTAACAGTACACGATGTCACATTTATACAACCACTCGCCCACATCTTACCCTGTAGAACCAACAAACAAGCACGCGCAACATAACTTGAATAACAGAACTCCTTATCCGTGAACCGATTACCCATTATCCGCTGCCATCCCGCAAATATTCCCAACGTTCTTAGATGCTTCCAATTAGCCGCGATGTGTTCTAAAATGCGTGGAGTCACGTGCTAATGTACTCTTATTCTCCACAATATTTTCTCCGCAGACAAGTGGCGGTAGTTGCTTGTGGAGAGCCCCACAGGGGATGAGAGCATCCGCGACATTGGACCCCTGCGTTGCCAAGCACACCGGTTTAATAATCATGTTACCATTACACAAGTGTATTTATACAGTCCTTTGAACGAGCATAGGCTGTACTGAAGACGGTGGTGGTGGTGTTCAGTGGTTGGTGTGACACACATATGGCTCTCAGTGCTCCAAAGGCCCGCAAACCTGGCAGCGATTTAAATGTATACAAAATCAGAGATTTGATTTATAGAACAGTAAGTTTATAGTACAGTAGTATCAAAAACCTAACCCTTGTCCGACCATGTCTCTCCTCATCAGAAAGTTATACAAATGCTGCAAAGTATGGTACAATGCCTTGACGATCCTTTGAGAATTAAAATCAGCAAGACGATTGGTGCGAGAAACACCTCGATCCACTCAATTCACTCCAAATTTTAAACGGCAAATGTCATTTTCACTGCATACAAAATCTGCTTGCCATAATGACTACAGCCGGATATAAGGACACTTAAGATAATTATTTCCTCAAACGGGAACTGGTGAATAATGGGCAAAAAAATTATTCGGCATCAATGCCACTTGGTATCAGATGGGTCACCAACGCTAGACTTTCACAGTGCCAAGTTACTGGGGGCATACACTCGACATTCAATTTATCTGTTACATTTGTATTTGCTTTACTACATCATAACCATAAGCTCGTAAGAGCGCATTAGAGGCTTCCGTTACAGTATGACCTCTATCGTAAAACCGTATTGTTACCACGAGTAGTCTGGAAGGCCGATATATACACAAATAAAGAAATATTTTGTGTGTTCAGATAGGGAACAGAAGCTGACCTATTTAATGTACTGTGTTTACCCACAATGCTCCACTACAGCACTGCGTGAGGTTTCACACAACAGTGTGATGGATCGTGTCAACAGTGGATACTGTGGCACACCGTCGTTATGCAACTCACCACATATCTGTGTGATGGGTGGATGTTTTTTGTACTTTTTTTATTTTCTCCACAGTAAATAAAAAACAATATATAAAGTGAGGTATTCCACAGGAACAAGTGTGGCCATTGCTTTTGATAGAGAATGGGGATCTACAGTTCTTGGCACAGCGGCAGCATACCAAACCAATCCATCGCCGAACCTAGGCCATTTTCCGCCGGTAAAGCTTCATGATGTCCAGCTGATTTAGCTTTCTCCATAATTTCTTCTCGAGGGACAGATCGTGGTTGATGTAAAAGACAAGCTTCTGGTTTTTGTCAAAATAATGGTCTGGAAATTTCCTGAAGTTGCTGGTAATGAAGCCATATGCAGAGACCTGCAAGAAACAGAAAGTAATCAGTTACTGCCCTCTGTCAATCCCCTGCAGGATGAAGGCCTCCCTATGCTGTGTCACTCTTGGGAATTGTATCACCATACTTCACCAATACTGGTCAGTGCGGATTGCTCCTTTGGGGTGCTACGCAGGACTAGTTCAGATAGCACTCATCACTGATGTTAGCCATGTTCCATAATCAAACCCAGGTTGTTGGGTTCACAAGAGTGCCCTAACCACCATCACTCACCACAGTAATGAATACTGTTGATTCATATTCTTTCATTCATGTTGGTGGAGGGTCTTAAAGAAAAACATTTGGCCAGATCTTTTTTTTGCCTAGGCCAATACACATTTGTGCATCTCCATACAGTTTAACAGAAAATACAGACATTTAAAAAATCATATTTACAAATTTGCAAGTGCTCCCGTTGTGATGGGATCCATGCCCGTGGCCTTGTCAGGGTATAACTCACAGCCCACATCACAATCCTCCCTCACATCAGCGCTCCTCTAGTTGCTTAACAAGGCACAGAATTCTGCACCTGGAACTAATGCCATCTTTTGGCTGATTAACGTTCAAAAAAGTCTCACGCAGGTTCAACGAATCCCGGGATAACCAGTTGCCAAGAACGAAGTCTCGGACACACACAGCCCGGTAGCTCACCACTAGTGCCCCTGGGGGACCTTAGCTGTAAGTGGCTTTGGGCAGGACACAATACGAACAGGGATGATGAACGGTAGTCAATTCATCGCATCACCCACAGGCTATCCGCAGGTTATGGGCATCATACCTGGACTCCCCTCATTTGTAATTTCCTCTCAAGCAATGGTCATCCTATTATCCGCGGTTATCACGATTTTACCCCCGTGGATAAGTGAAGTGAAAATGGCGGATAATAGGATCCATCATACAGGTCCACCATGTCGCTGTGCATAAGAAAAGTGCTACTGAAGTTTTGTGACATCACTTTCCCGGCTGTTCCCTGACACAGGGTGATGTACTGCGTGATGCAGGGTTCTCCAAGGAGATTCGGATACGATTACGATTGCGCACTTGGAACATAGTTGGGATAAAGCAACGAGATAAAAAAAATACCACAAAGACTCAACATGCCATCTCATCTGGTACAACTGCCATTCCCACTGGAATCCTCAACTCCCTCTCGTTCATAAGTAAAGTTGCTGTCATCAATCCATGGCTCCGCCTCCAAGTCTCTTTTGAACATGTATCCAGGATTACCTCGTCACAGGTGTGCAGAGCGGTTAGCAGAGCTATTGCGCCTGTGCTGGGCCTGTAGAAGTTTCTGAAGTCCGTTTGAAGGATCCCCGAAGGCAGGAAACTGAAAGAAATAAAACAAGGAGATGAATTCGTGTTGAACAAACCATTATTGTGCCTCGTGCTAGATGAGCCAAATTAAATGCACAACCAATTTCATTACGTGATGGTGTTTTTGAGCAGACATTTTGACCAGGCTGAGGCCAGCATCTGACTAAATCAAAGGCAACCGTCTGCATTCGAATCCAGGCCCTTCAGCGTTGCCAGCTCAGCACGCAGTCCTCCGAGCTCTGCGGCCACCTGTCAGCGCTCGAGTGGCCTCGCTCCTTTTGTTTTGTTACCGATCTGCTCTTTTCACCAGCTCAGCTGTACACAGTGAGGGCTCACACCCTTGACACGGAGAACGTGGAGAGATTAACTTCACTGGCCAACAAGGGCACTCTGCGTCCCCAACGCCGGAGTTGAGAGCCAATTATCCGTCTGGATTACGCACGGGTGACGTCCGCTGGGCACTAGGCAGAGACAAGGGAGGGAATTTTCCGGAAGCAGGGAGTTTTTCAAGTGTGTGGCTTCCAGTGCACCACCACTTGATGTTTTCACTCCGTACCATGCTTGGAATTCCTGGCTCGCGGTTTCTAGAGATAGTTTTAACCTCTCATTCTTCCAAATGCGTCCCTTTTTGTGCGATGCTTTACACATGAGCATTTTTTACTCGTTAAAATTTTTCCCATTTCAAACATTGGAAGGAAATCAAGTTTAGTGTTTGTGCGCGCACGTAGAACAATAATGCAGTGCAGTGGTCAGCAGCGCACTGCTCTTTGAACCCAGCAACCCAAGTTTTATTCCCACCCACAGCTAACATCGGCAGAGGAATATTATTATGCCAATCTCCACAGTGAAGAAATCCAATTCCACGAGTAAACGATGATTTCTCAGGAGGAGGGTGACGACGTTCAGGACATAACACCTAAGGAAGGAACCATTACCCCCTTCACAGTAGGAGAAACAGGAAAGCTCCTGGATCAGGTGAAATAACTGTGGGCATCATCAATGTAGAGGGATCAGAAATCAAATGTGCTGACCGATTTACTAAGCATTTAGACAAAAGTGAATGACCTCAATCACATGGAAAATCACGCCTCAAATTGCAATTAATTTCAAAAACAGAGAAAAAACTGATTTGAGGAGTCAGACTCCTCAGACTAAAATCACACGTGGGTGAATCACTGACAAAGGTCTTGGGGAACCAAATAATGGACGTTTGAGAATCCAACCAACCGCGTGACAAAGTGGGAGCTTGGGAAGCCTCTTCCATCATTGGCCACACAGCCCTCAACCAACACGTATAAGAGGCTAATGGACATGATTTGTCCCGACTAACTGTCTTGCCACGTATCAAACTATGAAGGGCTATCGTTCTGATGCTCGTGTCAGCTGCTTGACTGCTCTGGCTGCAGGTTGCTCTTTCGAGGTCTCCAGGCTGCTCCTTGACCTCGTTCCGTGCGCCAGCAGAGTGAACTTACTTGTTTTTCAGGTACCGTAGAAAATCCGGATGAAGCATTTTAATCTTCTTTCCAACATTCTCTTTTCCAAAGTATGTCCAAGGCCTGAAAAACAAAAAACAAGCTGCATTTGCTGACAAAATTCACATTTTTTCAAAATGTTGTTTAGGATATACAACACTCTACACGCACACAAGGTATACAGTTCTGTTAATGTTATCATCAGTAATGGTCTGCACCAGCGCATATATATATAAATACTTGAGATGAGTTTGGGATTTTAATGTTTAGGATTTTTGGGGACAAATACAGATAAATCATGGGACCTCCTTTGCCACTACCAAAATATGAGAATCGGATATAAAAAAAAAAACTCTTCTCAAATATAGATAAGTTATTAGATGTTCAGGTCGTTTATTTTATGGAGTAATTTGACGTATCTTTGTGCTAACAAAGGTGGTGTCACCTAACACCACGCGACTTCACTGTTGGCAATGTGCAGTCAGCCGTCACTCTAAACCTCCCTCGGTCACGCATGTGCATTTGGGCAAATAGACATGGACACACAAAAACACACGCGGAGACACACACAGATGCAGAGATAGAGAGCCGCACACAGAGACACAGGCACTAAAACAAAGACACGAACACACACAGAATCACAATATTTATTCTTGAGGAATCGGATGAGCTATGAAGGTAGTTTCCCAGATGTCCATAAGGGGCGGGTAAGAACGTTAAAACAACAAACAATACAAAGACATGCCAAGAGCACAACGTATAGGAAAGGTAAACAAATCACTTTTAAAAATAAACAAATAACACTATTTTTAATATTCTTGGTTCTTTTGGTAAAGTCACGTAGAAGAGAAACAATAAAATACTAAAAATATAAAACAATAAAATTCTCACGACGTTTCGACTGCAACACAAGCAATCGTCATCAGGTGTTGCTTGTGTTGCAGTCGAAACGTCGTGAGAATTTTATTGTGTTATATTTTTATTATTTTATTTTGTCCCTTCTACGTGACTTTACCGAAAGAACCAAGAATATGAATCCCTGCAGTCACAAAAGCTTTAAATCACTATTTTTAATCTTACCATATAAAGCCCACTGAGCTATTAACTTATTTTTCAGAAGTGATCTGGCCACAAATGAAAGCTCAACAAAGTGACTTACCATGTGGAAATTTATAGCCCCACACACAAACACGGAAACACACACGCAGAGTGACACGGAGACACGGATAGAGACACGGAAACACCCACAAACACGCTCAGGTTGTTGCGTAAATCCTCGTCACAGATTTTGGCACCACTCGATATCCTTGCACTCCGTAAGTACCTCGAATTTTTCTCGCACCAAGTGCGTTAAGAAAGAAGTTCAACATACATACATACAGCCGTGCTAATCGAAGGTGCGATTATCACGGTGAAGTCAGTATAAACAGGTTTGTAAATGCATTCTCATCTACAATGCATTCCCACTCAACCCACCCACTGTGATTAGTCATGTGCAGAAATCGAACTCGGGTCACCGGGTTCAGAGCACAGTGCAGCACCAAGCACTGCGCCACCACTCCCCACCACGCACACACAAACACATCCCAGCCATCGCTTACCGGTCATTCTTGTCGTCCCCTTTGTGGACGAGGCTTCCTCTCGCTGCAGCAGTCACCATGTAGTAGTCCTGGTGGCCGCAAGGGATGAAGATGTAGCGTGTCTCCTGCGAGGCACAGCGTAAGGAAGGACATGAACACTCGTGCCACACAGCGACAAGCCGCCTGGGTTCGATCCCCGACCCGGGAACCTTTCTACGTGGACTTTGTACGGTCAGCCCCTGTTCTGCATGGGTTTCCCCCCATATCTTCAAACACAGACGTTGCAACTGCTGTTGGCCCAATCATCTCAATGCTGCAAATGTTAACTGCAAATTATTCAACTGGAATCGCACACACCAGAAACATCGCAACCTACTGCGGTAACTTGACAGGACCCTCCTGCAACAACCTCGAGGCTTTCCAGGGTAAAATTAACATTAAAAAAAATAATAATAAAATTATCGCTCACTTCCTCTTGGACCCCCCCCCCCCTTGCCCCACTCCGCTCGCATTCCTCGTTGAGAAAATACATTTTATATATTTTTACTACAACTTAAAAGTTCTTACTTTATCTAAGCCACGTGAAATTAAAGGTGCAGCCATGCAATAGCTCGTTCACTCCACTGCTGGCGGAAGGGCCTCGATGAAGGAGAGCGCCAAGAGAACCCCTCTCGAGGGTATTGGGCCTACTCTTCCATGCTGGCCAGGCGTTATGGAAGAGGCGGGAATATCCCCATTGTACCTCACTACACGCAACCTGTCCCACGGACTAACTGTGGTGAACCCATTCGAACTGCTGGGTGGACAGGGTGGGAGGTTGTTCCAACTACACCCGCCAGGAGATCGAACTGGCGACCTCTGGAGTGTAATGTTCCTAGTTACACATGCAAACCTGTCCACAACATACATAAATGAAACCAGACGATACAACCAAAGTAACAAGAACATTCGCTCCGAAGCGGGGAAGTGACAATAAGCAGGGCACGCTGCTTATCGTTTCCGGCTTTAAGCAACTTAATTTGACTACTGGATCTAAGTGGAGCATGTTGTCGCGGATGATTGTGTGGCTACTTTTCCGCTTACAAAATGCCGATTTGCACACAGAAGAAGATAAAACAGCCACGTAAGATTCACAATGCTGCAGGTGTGTTTTATTTCTCTCCGCAGATTTGACGAACGCGCAGGTATCACAGGTATGGAGTGAGAGGCAACGCCTGGGAGCAGCCACAGTCATGCCTGCGTATGTTTCTAAGTTGCGACGCTGACGTTCGTCACTCGGCACATTGTTTACGTTATCACTGTATCATGGTTTTAATTTATTTATCTTGCTCCTAATAAGTTAGCTTGAGCACCACTTTGCAGCCTTCATTACCAAGTCCTCTCATTTCCATTGGTTATGAATCCTACATCATCAATCGATGTTCGATGGTCAATCTATCCCTTTGTTTCACAAATCCCATTTTGGGAAAACACCTGCTAACGCCGTGGGGAAAAGCTCTGGCGAAAGCGCGTCTCTACGTCCGATCCGCTAATGCCTTGACGGACTCCCAGCAACATTTCCTCATGATGCACCACTGTAAGCTGAGCAGAGTCACAGATGGAATGCATGGGAAAAGAGGAATGCGAGAGGGAAGGGAGAAGATAAAGACTTGAGAAGAGGAAAAGGTTGTTAAAGGGGCGGATAATCGGGAACAAGGGGTCAGGAGAGGTGAGGGAGGAGGAGGCTACATCAGGGCCTTGACGTTGCTGCTGCTGCATGGAGAGGCAGCGTCTGTCCTCACAGGGAGCGGTGGGGAGGGGCTCTGAGTGGGGGTGGCCACACACCAGTCACGTGATTTACGGGAAGCTTGAGCCGATTTAGAGATATAGATCTGAAGGCATTTTGACTGTGAAAACGGATACAGTCATCCAAATGCTCATAACCCAGGACCAAAGAAATACAATAGCTACATTGATTGTGGAAAAATATATATAGCTCTCGATGAAATACTTTATATTTGGCGTTGGTTGTGATTCACGCCCGAATTGGGCCGTTCACATATTGCTTCTATAGATTACACAATGCACCAACCACATGGTGTGTGCGCTGCAAGTCAACCACAAATATGCACAGGCAATGGGACAAAGAGAGAAGAGCAGCGTAGAGCTTCTAAGGCCTGGACACTGGTGGGAGAGCAAGTGGCTCACAATCAAAAGGTCGCAAGGTCAAGTGCTGGTTGGGAGTTAACTCAGCCCATCATCCCTCGGAGGTCAATAACATAAGTGCCACTTTGTGGGGAAGATTAAACTCGCCCCTGCCATAGGAATGAGGAATTTACACTACTGGCTCATGGCTGTAAACAGGATACGAGCACCCCCTTAGTGTTCATCCGAGCAGGAAGTGACCTTGACTTGAACAGTAAATACGAGTAGCCGCTGAAAAGTGGTAGTAGCAAATTAAACGTTCTCTAAGAATATTAGAAAAATCCTATTATCTGTATGCAGTTATCTATAGAATCATCTGTACTTTACACAATTATGTATATACATGAACATACAAATATATTAATTCTGAAGCCCGAATGTTATAATTAGCATAAGGCCTAGGTTTTTACAGAGCCAACATAAAACACATACAATACGTGACACGTATAAATGAAATAGTAAAAATAATTCTAAATATGCAATTGTTTCTTCATGCCGGGACAGCATTTCAGAGTGCTTTCCACGCAATCAGCGACTTACAGGGCATCTCATCTTAATACATTTACAAGGGAACTTCGAGTGGCAGCTGTCCCTGTGTGGCACAAGGCGACTCGGAACCTGGCCTGCAAGCAGCGAGCGACAATTGCCGCTACGTGCGATCGCAATCGAGGAGTTTACAGACATAGAATGCATAGGCACTGTGGTGCATACGCTGTTACAATTCAATGTCACTGATCGCGGTACTGACAATGGGTTTGTTACCGGGGACCACGAAGGATGCTGAAAGCCAAACTCCTGGTACGCGAGCCTCGAGTTCTTCATCGTGTTTGTGGAGAACATGTAGAAAGAGGTTCTCGTGCCAACGTCACTTTCAAATCCGTCAGTGATGGCTCCGTTCATCCTGAAACGAGGAAGAAAAATAATCATGCACACGCATGGATTGTGTAACACTGTCAAGCAGGGTGGCAGCAAAGTGGTCTTAACACTCATGTGCCTCACGGCAAGAAGAGCCTTGGTTCAATTTCTGACTCGGGCACCTTTCTGTGCGGGGTTTGTATGATTCTCCCCCTGTTCTGCACGGGATTCCTCTGTATGCTCTGGTTTCCTCCCATAGCTAAACACGCACGAGGAATGAGGCCCCAAAAAAGGGTCCAAAATGACACATGCATCCTCCTCAACAAGAGGGTCTGAAATGACAACATGTACAATACCGGAATGCAGCGGTAAAGATTCTTGAGAACGGGCGCTTAGTTTTAAAGTTCATGAAAAGAGGAACTTTGTCATAAATAGTTAAGCATCAGAAAGCCATTTGGTGCACACTTCCAAACAAGAGCCAAGAGCAATGCCCATACCAGGGTGACATTGCCACTTGTTGCACAAGATTTATAATGCTAACTATTTTCAGCAATAAAGTAATATCCATACATCTGACAAATACTGATGAGAAGCAATATGTAATTTTTTCCAACCCAAGTAGCTGAAACAACTCTGTAGTTTTAGAAATTCCTGAACATAAATTAATTGTGCCTGGCCTGTGAAGATGACTCAAAAGCATTCGAATCGGTAGAAATCGGTGCAGTTTACAGAGCTCTCACAAAAGCCTCATTGTTTTTTTTTTCGATGAAAACCATTCAGAGATATGGAACGGCCAGACTGAGATGGCAAAAAAAGAGTTCAAAAAGACCTTGTTAGACAAGGCGCTGGCATCAGACTTACGGCGAAGGAGGAGCGAGTTTACTCGGCGTGCGGTGCCGGCTTTGAAATGGGTACGGAAAGATGGGCATATGTAGAACTTCTTTCGCACCATACATCGCCAATCGTGATATTTGGAGGTGCGGGGGAAGGACAAGAAACTAAACACAAAAAGCAGTTCTAAAGAAATGAGCTTTCAATATAAATTTTAAAGTGCATAGCTCCAATGCCTTCCTAATATAGGAAGGAAGAGCATTCCAGATGGCCGCAGAAGCACATCTGAAAGCGCGCGATGCGGCGACCGTCGATGGTTAGCTAAGAGCCGCTGTGATGATGAGCAGAGTCAGTGCGATGATTTATGCTTCTTGACGAGCTCAGTGAGGTATAGCGGTTCATTTGTGGCAAGCACTTTGTGTGTGTAATGAGAGCGACCTTGTAACGCGTTTGTTCGGCAACCAAAAGCCAATGCAGCCCGGCGAGCACCGGGCGAACACGGTCCGCGGCCCTTACCTGAACACGTAGTCGTGAGCGTCGATTTCCTTCCCCATGCCGGCCCCGCTGAGAATTCCTCCGTTCCCCACCACAGCGCAGCGCACGCAACTCCCGCTCTCCTTCCCCATGCGGTCGTCGAAGAGCTCTCGGTTTTCCGGTGCGCCGAGGGATTCCATAGCATCCACCATGTCTGCACACACCAGGAAATGAGTCCAGTTTGAGTTTTATTTGGTCACACGGATGACCCCGATTAGGCAGTACCCCGGCTCTTTTACAAAGGGAAGGGCGTGGAGCGTGAGCATGGGGGTAACAAGAAAACGAAGACAAAAACTGTCGATAATGCAGATATTAGGTTCGTGGAACGAAGTTGTGCGTGGCATCTGCGTGCGTTTAATAACGCAACTGGAATATTGATAAACAAAGAACTAAACTGTGTTTTTGCAGCATACATTTGCATTACAAATTCTGTGTTACGATGTCAGAAATTCCACAAGCCTAGGGTGGAACCACGAAAACACAACATCGCACAACTCACTGGTATAAAGTTATATCTTTCTCCACTTCCATGGTGAATTTGATGGCGGGATGTCTGGAATTCACCATGGAAGTGGAGAAAGATGGCAAGCTACCATTCTTAGATGTTCTGTTTGAGAGGAGACCTGATGGCTCATTGGGGCATTCTGTCTACAGGAAACCCACCCACACAGATTCCTACTTGAAACCCGATTCCCACCACCACCCAGCCCAAAAGAATTATCTCATCAAAACTTTATACCATAGGGCTTATTGCATTTCGGACCAACACCACCTGACCAGTGAATTAAAACATGTACACCTGGCCCTCAAAAGGAATGGATACTCTGACCGTACCATCCGCCAAGCTGTTTCTCCCTCCATACAGAAACAACCACTTGATACTCCGGTCAAAACCATCACACTACCATATATAGCAGGCGTTACTAAAAGATTTCCAAATTCTAAACAAACACAAGATCCAGGTCCGGTTCAACACAGTACACAAAATTCGTGATCTGATCCCATCTGTGAAGGATGTCATTCCTGACTTACAGTACCCCGGGGTTTACAAATTGAGTTGTACCTGCGGTGATTGCTATATCGGGGAGACAAAGCGACATGTCTCCGACCGAATTCGCGAGCACAAATCAGATTTGAAACATGGCAGAACGAATTCTTCTGCCGTAGCTGATCACTGTTACAACGCTGTGGGTGATCACGATATCATTTTCTCCGATACCAAGGTTATTTGCAAACCCACGGGTTTTTATTAGAGATTTGTTTACGAGGCAATTCAGATCTACAAACACAATTTCAACCGAGAAGATGATTTCAAATTAAACAACCATTGGAAAGATGTTCTAAATCGAACCAAACATTAATTTTCAATGGTACAGTATATTTTTCAAGTAGTGGTACCCCAAACTTTCACAGCTCTTAAAAATTCCCTTTTCACACCATCAATAGGTAAACTCCCCCTCCCCCCCTCGCCAACCGGCATGTACACCACCTCTACACCGTTCATCATGCTAAGTCGGCCAATCAAATGCTAATTGTTATGCTAATTCCTTTGTCAAGGCACCTTGTTTCCTCGCACACAGCTTAAAGGTCGCGGTCTGAGCGTGGCTGTGTTTCACTCCAGCGCTGTCCTCAAGACAGTCTGCTCCCTTCACCTGATGAAGGCCGCTTGTGTTGTGGCCGAAACGTCGTGATTTTTGTTGTTTTATTTTTTACCTACGTGACTTTACCGAATAGAACCAAAGAGTATGGATCCTTGCAGCCACGAAAGCTTTAAATCTAGAATATTAGATCATATTCGTTTAAGGCCACAGCGTTTATTGACGAATGAGTGCCGTTCCAGGTGGGTGGGCACATGGCAGAGCCACGGGGGTTGCTGACAACTCGGGGACGGCCTTCATCCAGCAGTGGATTGATGTCAAAAGCAGTTTGTAAATGATGATGCAGCTGAAAGTAAAATGTGAACAGTGTAAGCTACACCCTAGCTGCAAGGTAGAGTGCCTATCCCAGCCATGCGAGTGTAATGGCGACTCGTACGTACGCGTAATGACAACACTAAACGCACAGCCACACACACTGGTGACCCCCCCCCCCCCCCCCATTGCTGAAATGTCTCCACAAGGGTCAGAATGATGCAGTAAATATCGATTCCAAACCCAGAAAATTTCAAATCACTGCTCGCCTACTTTGGCCAAGGATACATTGTTTTTCGTTCAAGCAAATAATATGCAAATATTTATTCTTTTTTTTTAAACAGCTTTTGAGCACAAGCTAAAAACATCGAGTGACCAGAAATAAACAGCACTGTCAATGTTGTAGCAAACTGCAGCCAATTCCTGTATTTACTTGCTAGGGGAATTACTTTATAGTAGTTTGTATGAATGATTGTTGCGATTAATGAGATCACAGAATCGTTACGAACAAATGTAACTCCCCATTTTACAGTGAGAAAAAAAAACACCACTTCTATAAAAAGTAAAATGTCAATTCATTGCCGTGTTCTCCGTGCGTCTCGCACGAGTGAGCGTCAGGGATTTTCTTGGCGTGTCTCCAAACCACCCTCAACTCCCGTGGGCGGAGATCGCACAGTGCTTTCGCCACCGCAAAGATAATATTCCAGGCGGTGCGCGCCCACCACACTCGCAGGCCCAAATGTGCGAGCACTTGCCATAAACGGCGCCCACCGCTCTTAAATAATCTACTGCAAGTTGCTACAAGGAAAAACACCCCCCTCGTCCCCCCCTCCCCCCCTCTCCCACCGCCCCCCCCCCCCCCCCCCCAGAGTTGGCCGTCGCGCCGGTTCGGCAGGCAACACAGGTTGGCATCTCCTGGTTTGTCTCCAAGTTCTTGGCCTCGCGAGTTCTTGCTCCCTCCTATTGGGGCCAAAGGGTCTCTACTCGGAGGAACTCCAGAGAGCCCCTCCGCTCTTCAACACTGGCCAGAGGTCTTGGAAGAGGTGGGAGTACCTACACTACACCCCACCGCACGCGAACCTGCAATTTGGTTGTCCTTCACAAGGTGCAAGTTTATTCCAAACCGTGCGCGACCCTCGACGAGTCCCACGCGTCCACGGGACGGGCGGACGTACCGGTCCAGTTCATGCCTCTCCAGCCGTAGGGGAGGCGGTACTTGATGAGTCTCTGCCACTCGTTGAAGTTGAGGTGGCTCTTCGACAGCAGCACCGGCAGGTCGAACTGGAACAGTCTGCGCAACTCCGCGTTCGCCATCACCCTTTTTCGCAGGCTTTGTGGGCAGCTCTAAATCGCATCATCAGAGCATCAAATCGTTAGTCCAGTCGGCATCAGTTCCTTCCAACAGTTTGCCAGGCACAGGGACCCAAAAAGGCCCAAAACGTAATGTAGCCAGCAACAAACAGCACCATCAAATTATATATATTCTTAGTTTTTTCGGTAAAGTCACGTTGAAGGGAAACAACAAAATAATAAATATATAAAACAATAAATAAAAATCTCACGACGTTTCGACCATAACTCAAACCTGAAGACGACCGTTTGAGTTATGGTCGAAACGTCGTGAGAATTTTTTTATTGTTTTATATATATTTTATTATTTTGTTGTTTCCCTTCAACGTGACTTTACCGAAAAAAACTAAGAATATGAATTACTGCAGTCACGAAAGCTTTAAAGCACCATCAAAGTTGTGATGGACAGGGTCGAACAATGTTTGTGGAGTTGAACAAAGTCATAGGAGCCTGCGAAATGAGACGATGCGAGGAGAGAATTCCCAAGTGGAGCGGTGCGAGGGAAGAAGCATCAAGAGAAGCGAGGTGCCCTGCGGTGTGGGTGAGTGAGTGAGTAAGTGTGTTGTGTCCTGTGGTATTAGGGAATGAGTGAGTGGGTAGGTGAGCGAGTGTGTTGTGCCCTCGGGTGTGTCCTGTGGTATTAGGGAATGAGTGAGTGATTGGGTGAGCGAGTGTATTGTGCCCTGCGGTGTGATGAGTTGAACACAGCATGGATAAGAGACGAAACGCAGCCTGGTCCGATCTTTGACTCTTCGTTGTTACATTCGAACGTAATGCAAATGTGGTCAGGAGAGAAAAATGTAACCTTGGCTTTCTCTACCAAAATAAGCATCGTCTCCCAAACCGTAAACAAATCGTTTATGCTCCCATATTGCCAACTGTTCACTTACTATGATGTGGCTACAAAAACGATTATGCGACCGTGCTTTCTAAGACAACTCCAGTGTTTCACCGTGGATTGAGGTTGGTCTTAGATGGACCATTTACAAAACCCATCCCTGGTAGACTGCATCACCCGGCCACACTTGAATATCCCCAGCGACAATCATTGGGCCATGTTCAAATATATATCAATCACAAACAGGTATGCTTGTCATCTACCAAAGTCATTAACTTTGCTGCCAAACTCATAACACATGTCATGCCCCAACCCGTTTACTGCCTCTGCCTGGAGGCAGAACTCAACGTCGGCGCAACAATTTATCGCAACTGCTCAAACTCGTACCACAACCGTTATCGCCATGTGATGACTCATTCGTGGATTTGCGTCGCTCCGTATCGATTTGTTTCGCAAGGCTACGCCTTCACCTGCAGTGAACAGAAACGGATTCTCCATGCGTGCGGACGTGGCAAGGATGCGCATGCATGCACCGTAGCTCGGTTGCTAAACCGTACACAGTGCGTGACGACGTCTCAATACAGAGACTGGAAACTCAATTCGACTTTAAAATCCTACAAAAACAAACGCAATGCGTCACTGCAAAATAACGATGCCATGCACAACATCACGGTGAAAGGTTTCACTGTGGAAGCGACCATGTGCAACTGGATTTACGCTACTAATCGCAAAAGAAAACACCACTAAGTAATACAGTGCCAGGAGACCTTTATTCACAGCCCTATTATCCGTTACCTCCATTATGCAAAACAGCTCCTATTATCCAGGACCCTATTTCTTGCGATTATCAGTGAAGCATGGGTTTTCACGGATAAGAGGTGCTGAATGGCAAATTCACCCCATTACCCACGGGGTTATTCGCGAATTTTTATCCCGCAGATAAGAGGAGTAAATCGTTGATAACCACGTGAATAATAGGATTCGTGACACTGATCCCCCATATCATCGTGGAGTTATACAGTACAGCAATCCTTCGCAACCGTGGACTTGCCAACCGCGAAATTCAAATACACATGGTTTATTATTACCTGTATACCAATTTACCAAACGCAACTTGGACATTTTGGATATCTGTGGGTAAGCACGGGTTCGCAACACGCAGTTATAAATTTCGCAGGGCCACGTTTCTCCACCGCACCGCCACGCCACCCATGGCACTGCGTAGCTGATCGGCTGTCAGTCTGTTTTGTTGCGATTTTTGCAGCGTACGGACCGCGTCACGTCGTAACCATATGGGAAGGTCTATCTGGAACTTATAGAAACAAATGATGCAGCAGCCATCCATCCATCCTAACCTTTCAAAAAATAAAAGAAACAGCACCACCATTCCAGCCACCAGCGCCACGGATCCAGCCAGCAGCGCCTCTGTGCCCGCCCCCGCCTCCTTGCCTGCCCACTCGTTTGCCATTGATGACCGGAGGAAGAGGGGGAACCCTCCCCTCCTTCTAACCACCCCTCCCCCATAATCTCATTGGTTTTATTCGTTAAAGTCACGCAGAATAGAACCAAAGAGTATGGATGGATCCTTGCAGTCACGAAAGCTTCAAATCTACAATCTCATTGGTTGTCGTCGTCATCATGGACTTCTACCCTCAATATCAAAAGGTAAAGTTATTTTAACGTTTATTTACGTGATATTTCGTTATTGTGTAATGCACTGTATTTTGTTCGTGTTTAGTGAAGAAATCCCCTATTTCCCATAGGCCCTGAACTTTACCAACCGTGGATTCGCCTACCACGGCATTTTCCAGGAACCTCACCCCTGCGGATGGCGAGGAATTGCCATCTTGGCTTTTAATTGGCAAGCCACGTGAATTCAAATATCCTTAAGTACTAAATGTTTCGCTTTGCCTCGCAAAACAAGAAAGGTGATTCAAGTGGAAAGTAAAGATATTTTTAATAAATACCATTATGACATTGAACATTTGAACTCGTGGGGTTTTCACAGCCGCTCGTAATGCTCGTGTGGTTTCCCGGATTGGGCTACATGTTCAGAACGTTTGCCCAACGTTGAAATGCAGGAGTTAAAAATGCCTGCAGTAGTCTGTAGCCAAAGCTTGACAAAATTTTGCTCAACAAGTAGCCCACCCGGAAAACCGCACTTGTGTTACCGGTTGAATTAATTGTGAACATTCTTGTATCTATGTATGCTGAATGTCTTTTGTAGCCAACTGTGCGAATCAGAGGTACGGGGGAAGGACGACACACGAAAAACATGAAGCAGTTCTAAAGCTCCAGTGGCTTCCTAACAATCGGAGGGAAGAGCGATCCAGATAGCCACAGAAGCGCATCTGAAAGCGCGCGGTAGCCATCTTTGTTCGATGGCTAGCCAAAAGCCGCTGGCTGCGAGGGTGAGCGGCGTTGGCGTGACGGCAACTTGTACAATACTCAAGAGAAACAGCCCGACGAGCTGGAAGGGGGTCAGCTGAACGTGACCGGCCACGCAATTAAATTAGCCATCAGCGTCCGAGGTGTTACGTTTCACACCGAGTCTAATGAGAGCAAGCCCCATGGAAACTAGAGGAGGCGTCAAAAGGTTGTCAAACGACACCCGTTCTGGAAAAAGAGATGCGTGCAAATAGCTATTATTGTTATACATTGCCAAAGAGCTATAACGATGACGCAGCTGTAACGTGTGTAACCATATCGTACGTACGAGATATGTTTGTGTATGTTGACTTCCCCCTACCATGCTGCGGCAATGGCATTGAACGGCTCATTGCCTTCGGCAGCAAAAGCGACGCTGCGCTGATGCTGCCGACGACGACAATGCAAAGAAAACGGTACTTGCCGGACGGTACATGGCTGGCCGACCCCGTGAGCTGGCGAGCCGGGTTGCCTCCGGGTGCTCTGTGGGTGGCCAAGGTCAGGGGTCGCCCGCTCGCTATTTGACCGAGAGCCGGGCGACGTTGACCGGGATCGTTTACAACGACATTGACGTCGCCTCGCGAGCTCACGATGTTAAAATTATGCCGACCTCGACCGCCCAATCGGCCGATGCCAGGACCGCTCTTTTTTTGGCTTAGGTCATCGTAGCCGGAAATATAATTTCAAAACGAATTTCTTCAGAACTTTTTTTTGCGTTTAGTTTGTTGTCCTTCCTCCACGCCTCCAATTAGCACAGTTGGCTATGTACGGTGCGAAAGAAGTTCCACGTACGTACAGACAATGTGCGCCCTCCTACGAATGGGAGTCCTGCTTCTGTGCCGGTTAACAGTGTTGAACGTGAATATCGCAGAGGGCCAAGTCAGACAGCCTCGTTAGCAATGAGCACGCAGGGCGAGCGCGTCCCGGTCCCGCCGGAGAGCAGCCGTTTCCAGATGCTTCACGGCTCCCCGTGGTGCGCCATCGACCCCATGTTGGAGTGCCACTGTGGCCTTGAGTAATGCCACTTTACATTCATCGCACTCACGGCTTGTCACCAAGGGCTCGACTCGAACGTCAGGGCTCAAGCGAATCACTCGTTCGCACGTTGATCATAGATGGGCGGCCACGGCTTAACGTCTGTCGCAAGTCAACCAAACATTTTACTTTACGTGACACTGCTTCATTTGCTTAAACTGATATTAGACTTATTATTTTTAGGTGCTAAATATGCAGATATTTCATCACAATGTTCTTCTCAATATCTGTACACGGCCTACGAACATATTAGGGTAATATCAAACGACTAGGAGTAAGTTGTATATCGTACTGCAGTACCCGAGGTACCGCGTTAGCAGGTTAATAAACAAAATACTCCGTTGTAAGTTGTTGGGGTTTTTTGTTTAAACAGTCGCTGAGAATAGATCTAAAGGCCCAAAACGTCAAGCGCCAGCAATATAGAGATCTATGAAAGTTGCAATGTATAATTGTTAAACATGTTAATTGAACCGAGAATTTAAAAAGCAAAAATTATCAAATTATTATTTTATAAAACTATCATTTAAAAAAATGTGCATGGGAACCGACACGGGGCCCGCCGCTGTAGCCCCGGCAGCGAATTGGCGAGTCGCCGCTTGCACGCAGCCCAAATGTGAGAACGAGCCCTTAAACCAACAACACCGCCGCAAACAGCAGCAAAAGAACATTTGCTTGAGGGGAAAGAGCCCGGGTTACATTTACATTTTGAGGCAAGTGGTTTATGGCCATCGTAAGATGGTGGGCGTTGCTTGTTTCCCGAAATATCCGCCCCGCACCATCTACGTTGAAGTCAATGCGCGTGCAATGACCAGTGCGATGTATGCCAAGTCAAACATAGCATACGAGTCTACGGGTCTCTGTACGAGTCTGTGGGTCTCTGTGCGAGTTGCGAGTCCTCGGTGCAGTGCACGCCAGTGCTGTGGAGCATCTTGGAGTTTTGCCAATTTTGGTCTTGAACAAACACTGTGGGTAGGCAAGGGAATGTGCGCGCGCGTTGAAGGTGAACTTGGCTCAATAAACCTCGCTGTGACTTGAAGGGGAAGGCGAAACTGGTCTTGCAACCAAAGGTCACCGATGAGTGGAGCAGTTTGCAAGATAAAGGGTGGAATGACAAATATGCCTGACCACTCACTCGGAGCGAGTATTTTCCTCCCCTGTCTCTGGACCATACCAGTTCCATCAACTCATGCAGAGTGTCAGCCGAAAATAATTTTCTGCTTATCCAATAAAACACGCAACGTTTACCCAACGTTGCCAAGGAGGTTGGAACCGTTGGCCTCAGGGCGCAACGTTCCACGTTTGCTGGGCAGGGCCCCTAACGGGCCCGGCACCGCGTCCACTGGGGCCACTCACCGAGGGCGCCGCTTTGGCCTCGCGGAAGTAGTCGTTGTCGTTTCCGATTTTGATGCTTTCGTTGACGTTCTGCTGCAGCCATTCGTGCACGCCTTCCTCTTCGTCGTCTCTGTAGTCAGTCTCCGTCGTCGTGACGACGTCCTCCATCACCGCGACAACGTCCCCCGCTGCCGGTGCTGCGGTGTTGCCCACCTTGAGTTTTTGAAAGAGCGTCTGAGCCCTTTTCCACAAAATGTCCTGGCAGCTGGGTGGGGGGGGGATTGTCACAGTGACAGGGGGTAGGGTTATATGACAGCCGCACGTCTATCGACATTATTTGTCCGAGGCATATGATGCTAAGCATCACAATACTAATTTACAGCCCTTACAGTTAATTCACTGCTGATTGAGGGTTCTTGAGCAAATCTAAATCGGCATACAAACTAACATTCATCAATAACACTGCCTATACAATAAGTGGCATTTCATGCAATGGCCGTTCTTTACAGCATGGGTCTCCCTCTGTGGCCTCTCGCTCTGTAACTCTCTCTGACCTATGTGCTGCGAAGAAGAGTCATTTATTAAATGTTGCTTCTTGTAAGAACATTTATATTTTAAGGTAGTGCTTTTTGTGAATTGTGCACCACTGACTGTGAACAAAGCAGCATCGCCAAATAATTTGTATAATTAATCATCAGATTACATTCAGTGTAAATTAACAAAAGTTATTGACTGTACATCACAAACGGGCAGTTGGAGCTTTGCTTTATGTGACCAAATTAAATTAATCTGTCATAAATTACTCATTTTGTAGGTGGAAATCCCAATTCTGTGTCTGTGCATATCCAAGCATTTGTGAATGTACACGTGAGATGTATGGACATACAAAGCACAGCCATGCAAGTGTAGTGTCATCGCGCTGGCTGGTGGACAGCAGCGGCAACTGTGGTGGACAGACAGCACACACGCCGGTGAGGGCGGGCACGGGGTGTGGGCAGAGCGGAGGAACTGGGGCAAGGGTCACAAAGGACCCCGTCTGGAGGCCCCTGGAACCTGCTGGAGGGTTCGAGAAGGGAGGCGCGGTCAGGGCGGAGCCAGGCCGCGCTGGGAGTATAAAAGGAGCCGAGAGTGGGTGGGGGGGCTCAAGGGTGCCGGTTCTAGGAATGGAGTCGTCTCGTCGCCGCTAAACGTCTCCGTTAGATGTTGCGCTATGAAGGATAGTAGTTGGCTATCTCAGTCAGCGCCGTCAGTGTTTGATGGCTAGTGTTGTGTACAGACTAGGCTGAGCTACTGTGGAGTGTGAGGACGAGACCGTGAAAGTTGTTAATAAAGAAAGTGCCTCCTAGAAACTCTGTCTCTGAATCATTGACACTACACTCCTCTCACAGCTAGTGGCAGATCCCAGGGGGAGCGATAGGGTGGATGAGGGGTGGATGAGGAGGGGTGGATGAGAAGACGAGGTGGATGAGGAGGGGTGGATTAGATGGCCCTACCCCTTGGGGCCCAAAGTAACCGCTTAACATTACGGGAGCAGCCCCCACCCCACACACCTTGGGAAGTTTCTCAACCCACTTATGTACAAACACACCTGTTCTTTCTAATGTTATCAACGTGACATTTCAACGGCTCTCAGAACATTTCATTAAGTTCACTCAATTATCTCAGATTTCTCCGACCAGCATGGTGAAACGTGGCCAAATAACCCCCCACGTCTCCACGCGGCGAGGGTAGGCCCTCATCCACCGGTGGGTTGACAAATAGGGCTGTTACAGTACAAGTACCATAGTGGTACAGTGCAAGCACACCAATGCCTGCCCCTTGACCATGGGAAGAGGTTTGTTCATCGACTTGTTGTTAATTTCAACTCTTTTGCCCCTACGCAGTACCGTACTGCATACACATCATAGCAGGCAGCCCCAATAAACACGGAATGTTGACCCAACGTTGGCATGTTTACTGGAAAGAGCACAATGACATCAGAAATCCAGGTTTTAAAAAAAAAACCTGGATTGCAAAAATACAATCGGAGCACCAGAGGTGTGGTGACTATTACACGGAATTAAATATTACAAATAGCAAATGTCTGCCCAGTTTTGATACCAACAGTTTTATGAAACGTCAAGCCTGTAAATGACAGGGAAAACCCCACCATAACAGAGCAATAGTGCAGGCTGGAAAACGACCAGCTTCAAACAACAGCCCACCAAAACGTGTATGAAGCACTCTACCTCTGAGCATTACGCAAACACCATCAGTATTTCTTGCAGTGCTTTCACAATGTGAGCAAATGTGACCGACTGACAGGGAGCAGTGATGCAGTGATAGACAGCCGAGGACCGCTTTCATCACAATTAGGTGTCATCAGCAGTGAGCATTGGTGACCATCCTGTGCCGATGAGTCCTAAGTATGACAAAACCATTCCAGCTGTGTCTTGTTTGAGACATTGTGTAATTTCCTACACGCAAGGGTATTGTGTAATTTCTTACACGCAAGTGTATTCTGTAATTTCTTACAGGCAAGGGTATACTCTGCGTGTCCAATGGTTGTTGTTGGATTTTGTTCTGCCAAAGATGCTCAGATAAGAGCCACACTGTCGGAATGTGTTCACTTATCAAAGAAATCGCCTTCAAACAATACACATTCGTGAGTGTATGCAAATGTATTTAAGGGTCATCGCTACATTGCAGCTTGGTTCAGACTGGGAGACAATTTCCTGTAGAAATAATTCCTACAAACAAGCCAGGACAGGTTTCTCTTTTCAGACAGGCAGTATCGTTCACATCCCCATTGAAAACAGCACAGTGTATGGAACTAAAACTTTTTGCAGTCTGAATACAGAACTCTTCTTACTCCCACGTAATAAGGCGGACCTATATGACAATTCTTATGATCGTGGCCTTATCCACAATGTTACGCCTCTTATCCACGGGGAACAACAAGTCGCAGATTACCCCGCTCATAATCTGAATAATTCGCGGTGCACAACTCCTCTTATCTTTTTATTATGAAGCCACTGGAGCTATGCACTTTAAAATCCAAATTGAAAACTCCTTATTTTAGAGATGCTCTTTGTGTTTAGTTTGTGGTGCTTCCTCCACACCTACGATTAGCGCAGTTGGCTACAAACGGTCCAAAAGAAGTTCAACATACATTCATATACATACAAAAAACCATGGCTAACAGGAGTAATGACACAACATTCGATACCCGTGGATCCCCCTGCGTATAAGAGCATGAATTTGTCGCCCCGAGACTCCTCTTACCCGTGGACATACCACGCGTATTAGAAGCTTCTCTGCGATGCATTATGGGTAACATTGCAGATACTGACAGATAATAGGCAATAGGCCCGTGGCGTTTTGAGGGATCCTTCAGCTGCCATGGATAATAAGGGTCACAGGCAATCGACCGCAGATAAGAGGAGTTCTCCTGTAATGAAAGGCTACAGACTGGGTGCATTAATAACACGTCAAGCTCAAAGTTGTCATCTTGATTAGAACGTGTTGTGTTTAATGAAGAGTAAGAGTATACATGCGCCTTGAAGGAATAAAGTGTTCGTCGTTGAGTCTCACAATGCCTGCTGTGGACATGAAGTTCAGTAACGCGGTCATCATGAAAAGCACAACACGATGACCACCTACATCACAAACGTGATGCCGAGTTGTTGATTCTGTGCAATAACTGCGACTATATTCGAGTCTCATCACATCGTCTATTTACACATTAATGTTGTGCAATAATCACCCTAAGTTCGCCGTTTCTGACACTTAAATTGTACTGCACTATAGCGTTTAATATCCTGCAGTAATTTATCCGAGCAAACTGTTGTTACAGTATTGTTTTTTTATTGAATATTATGTTTGTGCAGTATATTCGAGTCCTGTATTGCATCGATTTCTATTTTGTTGTTTTGGCGTCGATTTCTATTTGCTTCATTGAAGTACAGAATTTTTGTTGTTGTTGTTTGCTTGTCATTTTGGAGACCCAGGTCACTCGTGACAATTCGACTATCATCCACGGTCCCTTGAGGTCTCGGCTGGTTAAACAAACTAAAACTGAACTTGACAGTTTGGTGAGGCCTTCATCTAGCAGTGGACTGAGCATTGCTGGTGTTGATGAAGAATAGTTTGTCCTAAATTCCCAATTTTCTTTGGCAATATTGAAGACGTAGTTAAGTAAAACTAGGCCTAGGCACAGGAAATAAGTGTGCTTTTTGTACAGTATCTTGTATATAGGGCTGTGACGATTCAGTGGCCAAGTAAATAAATGAAACCATTGTTATCATCAATTACATTCTTGTAGTAAGATTACTCAGGCCTCTAAAACATGGCGACCACCCTGTAGTGTCGCTGCCCGAAGGCAGGAAACCCCCCCCCCACAAGCCACGCCCAGCGTGTCGCATCCGACGATGGAGAATGCGTTACACACGGTGAGCAGCTGTCATCCCCGCGTCATACTGCCTGGTTACGCTGCGAGAAGTTCAATGTTGATGCCTTCATTTGCTTGCTCTACACGGTTGTAATCATTCACAATGGCAAAACCGTTTGGCCTCGAATAACGAAGCTTGGTGGGGGGGTAGCTGCTGGAGAGCCAAGCCTGAGTTTCGTCACAACTGCACCTCAACTCGCCTCGCGTCATTAAAATATTTTTGATTTTATTGAACCATGACGAGAACTCCGTTGTTTGGCTTTTCCTTAAGGAGGTTTCTCAATCCAGAACGTACGTTTGGAAAGAAAAAAAACAGCACTGTCCAAAACGTGAGGTCAGCTGCGAGTACTGTAGTTGAATACTGTAGGTGTGCTTGGTTTTTGTTGCTAAGAAGAACATCCGGTACAATGAAGACAGGAAAGTCGAGGATCGGGATGGTGGAGGATCTCAAGGAAGGGGCATTTGTGGGAATGAAGAGGGCAGAGAACAGATACGAATGGAGATTGCAGCCAACCCGGTAAACATGGAACGTTGAGCCAACGGTTCTCACCATATGCCAACATTGGCGCAACGTTGGGAGGTTTACTTGGCCAGGAGGTAATGGTGCACTGCGTGTGTTCACAATACACCAAACTAAACCAGCTTCTACCGTGCTTTAATGCTACAACGACCACTGCACACAAAGTCCTCTTAGCATGGAAGTATCAAGAGTCGTCAGCGGAGTTCTGGACAACAAGTAGGTTACTGACAACAGTCAACGCTACATCAGCAACCTGCAATGCCCCAAAAAGCGTTGCCTCTGTGATCGTTATCATCCTAAACAGCACCTACCCACTGCTGCGACGTGGCTTATGGCTCATGTTCACACCCAGAAGGGATTGTATTCCTTGTAGGACTCACGCCACAATGGCATTTGGAAAACAGGTGATCATCAACTTGTCCGAGAGCGATCACCTTCCCTCATACAGCGGTGGGTTATCAAGCGTCTCGATATGGTGCCCCCCCCCGCCCCAATCAAGACACCTGGTCATCGTGGCCCCCCCACACCTCAGATCCACTGATGGCAACTAAAAAAGGGTACAGAGCCCTTTATTAGTAATCTCCTGCACAGTATCCATGCCGCAGCCCTCCAACCCACCTTCCTCATTAATGGCCCTTGGACTCTCCGATTATATGAGCAATAATCTACTCTACCAATTAATTGCTCAAGTAATAAAATCAAATGGATACCACCTAAAAGTTGGGAGTCGAGACTGATCTCGCCGCCCCATGGCAGCCGATGAGTGGGGCCAGTCAGCCCCACTCATCGGCATCATTAGACGCGTAGAGGTTCCATCTCCGCAACGCTGACGGTCGTGACGTACATTGTCCACGCAAGCACCAAATGTACCGAAGCACTCTTATTGTTGATACGACGATGAATGTGGACGACGGTGGAAAGCAACGCGCCTCTCGCATACCAGCCGAGGTATTAAAATGCTGACCAAGAATCCACCCACATCTAAAACTCGAAGCGACGGAATTTCTTTGGCAAGGTGTTTTACGACGAATTGACAAATTCAACAAATCACGCTTCTACAATAGTATATATCCTCTCGTGTTTAGTTTGTGCCACAAACATTTGTAGTGTTTACTAATTAAGTGCTGCAAGTACAATTACATTGTGATTATAATTTATTCTTGTCTTTCCAGTAGCATTGTTAATTTGATTTAACGATATCTGTTGCTAAACTGCAAACGTAATAATAAGAATACAAGTCTTTTTTCCACGTGTAATCGCTGGCGAAGCTAACAGAGCGGAATGCAGATTGCTTGAAACAAGTACCAACCGTCTGTGTTTTGATTACGCAATGAATACCTGACACCAGGCTTTACGTGTAAGGACATGCGTATGTGGTTTGCAAAATGCGTACATGACAAATATCAAAGTGTCAACAAAGAATATGTTGAATAATAATAAAAAAACTGGTCTAACCATTTCTGGTATAAATACAGATGTGTAGATGTTCAAGCACCAAATAGACACCTATTATACAAGGTATTAAGTCTGCATTAACCACACGCACCTGTGGTAAAAATGTCTAACGCGTAGACTTTCACGACCAATATTATCCATAAGAGGTTTTTGGGCAGGGTACTTTTCTTCAAACCAAAAATTGGAGAAGCTCCAAATCAAGCGAATGAAGCGGATGTCTTCGTCACCAAAATAGGTTATTTCCACAACTCTGACTGTTGCCTGATGATGCAAGTTGTAAATACTGGTGAAAAGTCCTACTTGAAATATAAATGTTATGGGTTTACTCTCCAACACACAGGTGTGCTGTACTAGTAACGAATTGACAGGTTTTGTTTACGTGACAAACATTACTAATTGGCTGTGTCAGGTGGTAGCGGATTTAACAAACAAATATGCTTTGATAATTACATATTCACTCCTGGAAAATGATTGGGCGACACCAGAGAAAGCCTCACCATTGACAAATTTGTCTCACCAGTGCTGGACCAAAGGCAGCCAAAAGGCGACCAGTACAGGGACAATGCAATGGCAGCATTTGGTCTCGCATTGGTGACACAAAGCCATGACAGAGGATGCCTCCCTGTGTCAGACATCGGCCGCTGCCCTGGCACTCTCAACCACAGAGCACTGCACCCACAGTGGAAGCAAAAATCTGTCACCATTTACTCATCAATACCGAAACGTACATCGCAATTCAAACTATTGCAGGAACTTTAAACCAAGTCAGGAACTTTAAACTCTACACCCTCGGATTCCTGTGCTGTCAAATATCAATTTTGACTTGTCAAATATCGCACCACTGGATATTCGTTGCGGTGCTGCCACACGCCATGAACGGAACCGATTGGAAACCGACACAAACCTCCTGCCCATCGACGTCGACTTCTGACTAACATCCCACAGTCACGCCCAGAACCGTCCCGAGGGTTATGGCGAATCGGGGCGACCGCCCCTGGCCCCGCGCTTTGGGGGGGGGGGGGGGCGCGTTTCGACGTCACGGTGTCAGGTGTAGTTTGAAGGCGTCGGTTGTGACTTGTCCCGGGCCCCGCAACCGCCGTGGGACGGCCCTGTGACCACGGCTGAGATGCAGAACACGGAAACACGTTGGCGCAAACTCCCTGTGACCGGAATTTCAACATCAAACCTGTGTTCGTGGCCAGCCACCACTACACTGCCCCGGTTCCAACTTGAAAGAAAACAACGGGCAGCACGGGAACAGAATCCGCATCCATCACGGAAGATGCCGAGTGGAAAGTTAAACTCCCAGTGCAGGAGAAGTGTGACAGGAGTATGAAACATGGCAGCGGTTTTTTTTATTTTCTGTTGCAGATAATCTGGCTCGCTACTGGCAGCCAAATAATATACTGTTTGGAAAAAAAACAGGAAATAGCAATGGACCCAATCTCTCAGAATCCAAGTTCTTAATCGTATTAATACTCTATAGCATCTATTTATCAAGACCAACAAAAAAATAGGAACAGCCACATTGAGACAGCGTGCAGGTCGTGGCAAATTCCCCAGGTAGATATTATTTGGCTCTTTCGGTAAAGTCACGTAGAAAGGTTCAACGAAAGTAACAAAAAAACTAAGACGTTTCGATCGCAACACAAGCGGTCGTCGTCATGTGTTGCGATCGAAACGTCGTAGTTTTCTGTTACTTTCTTTGAACCCATCTACGTGACTTTACCGAAAGACCCAAATAATATGAATTCCTGCAGTCACGAAAGCTTCAAGTCAAAATTTCCCCAAGTAGAGCCTGGCAATCGGATGCGCTATCGCCCAATATTATTCGCGTAAAATACAGCCCAATTTTTCAAGCCACCGCTTGATGAAGGCCACCCCACGCCGTATCGGTTTGAAGGTTGTATGACCATACTTCACCACTCTGGTCAGTGCGGGTTGGTAAAGGGAGTGCGGGGGCCAGCCCCGTCACGCATGTCAGTCGTGACCGGTAATCGACCCCATATCGCCGGGTTCAGAGTGCTCGAGGACACTGGGGCACACAAGGAGGCGGTCTCTGCTGCACTCCAGCCAGGTGCCCGGGCCTCGTTGTTCGCCACGACGAGGCGGGCGGGCATCGTGGCATCGCTCGCCACGACGCACGGCTAGCACGTTCCGTGCGGAACCAGAGCGCACGCGAATGGCACGACCACGCGCGCGCGGTGCCAGGCAGGAGGTGGGTGGTGGTGGCCCCGCGTGCCGTCCAAGGCGGTGAGCGCCCTTGGCGCGACGAGCCCGACCACCCGACTTGCATTCCCGCTCACGGCCAACACCGGTGAAAGCGATTGTATTATCTGATGAAGCGGTCCTGGGCCTCCCCTAGGTTGACTCGGCGTCAACAGAGTACCTGGTGCGGTGTGTAAACGTCGCCACTGGGGAGACAAAGGCGGCCGAGCGTGGTGCTGGCCACTCACCCCCTCATGTGCTGTGCCGGCCTTTACAGGTGCTACTCGCTAAGAGCACTTGCCCCAACAGTCTGTTAAGGCTACACGGGGGTCTTCTTAAAACACACAAATACACACGAAGCGGCTTCATGTACACACTACCGCACACACACACATCTCTTCACCAACCCGCACTGACCAACATGGTGAAGTATGGTCAAACACCTCACTCACGTCCCCCTCCACACCCACGAACGACACACCGCAAGCCACTCTCCCTCCCCCAGCCGCCCCTATACCCCCGGTAGCTGTGGAAGCAACCATCACGCAAGGCGTGGGCTGGGGCAAGTGTAGCAGCGGTAACAGCGAAGTTGGTAGTAGTGACGATGATGATGCAGCACATGGACACGCGTGGAACTGTGGGGAGAACACAGCAGCATCCTCACCTCGCATCGTTGCGCACACACAAGCTCTTGTGCACGGTGACGTGAAAGCCGAAGAGGATCCCGGCTCCCAGCACACACAGCACCACGAAGCTTTTAATGGCCAGAGTCTTAGGCAACACCGCACGGATGATGCCGCTCACCAACAGCGCCATGGCGCTTACACCCGGATCGCTTGGTTCGCCGAACTCTGCGAGTCGCCTCGTACTTTTAACACGACCGTAGTAGCCCTTTACTGGGGGGGAAGACTTGTTGGAATGTGCGGCTTTGTGATTGTTGAGGCCAGCAGGTCTCGGGGAGAAGCGCGTTGCAGAGGGGGGTTTTATTCGTGGCCAATGCCGGCGGGCGGGCGGGCGGGCGGACGGGCGGACGGGCGGGCGGTTCCGTTCGCGTGTGCGCCGATTGGCTCCGGGCTGGTGCGAGGGCTCATTGTGCTCATTGTGCTCAGGTGTCCGGCCGCTCTCAACCTGGCTGCTGCCTTCGACGTGCCCCGGCTCGGCCGGTTTCATTGTTCCCCCTCTCTCCCTCTTAAAAGTTGCTCCACAGAGCGGACAGAATGTGAAGTTCAGTGAACGCAACGCTGAGCTGGCATTACTCATGGCGAGTGGCGTGTGTGTATATAAGGCGCTACGGAAAGTAAGACGCACCCCAAATGCGTGCCCGGTGTCAATAAAGTTATACGACAACAAAACTCACAATAAAATAGTTTTTTTTTAAACGCAGTCGTCAATAACAGTGGCCTGAAAATGCAAACATAATAGGCGACTTCTAGATTTGAAGTTTTCGTGACTCCAAGAATCCATACTCTTTGGTTTTATTCGGTAAAGTCACGTAGGTGAAAAAAATATAATACAATGAAAATGAAAACAACTTAATTTTTCATTTTTATTTTATTTTTTACCGAATAAAACCAAAGCGTATAATAGGCGACGTTTCGGGCAATGACCATTCTTCATAGTACTTCAATAGATGGGAGACAGTGGACGATGATGAGAGTTGGAGACTCGCTCTCGTTTACATCACGAGGCCCTGATGAGAACTACATTTTTAAAATGTTCCGTGATGCACAGTTTCATAAACAGGCACAGGAAGTTAGACTATTAGTATCTATGGAATAAAAGACATGCAGACGACCTCTTCAATAATGACAAAGTATTGCAAAATAAACTCATTCACATTATAAAGCAAAATTGCTCAATTATAAAGTGAAATAAAGTTATACAAATCTGGTTACACACACACCCCTACCGGATTATAAGACGCACTCCTACCTTTTCCTTTAAAATTCACAAGGGGGGGGGGGGTGGAAGTACATTTAATAATCCTGAGAATACGGTAGTTGGGTTTTATATTGTGTGTGGAGTACCCCCACCCTGAGTATCCCCCTCCCCAGGTACCCCCCAAGGCACCCCCTCCTCCAGGCACCCCCCCACCCACCCACGAGGTACTCCTCCCCGCACCACGAGGAGGGGCGTGCGGGCTCTTATTGACCTCCGGCGAATCAAAGCGCTGGGAACAATGCCAGGTGAAGCTGGAAGCATTATTTAGAACAATAAATCAAATCAAGGTTCAAATCAAGATTGAACGATTAATTGGTTCTGCTGCATTCTTTCTCATGACTAGGGAGATGTAATTAAATATCATAACAATGTAATGAGACTATAATTGAGCGGTGTAATATTGGAACTGAGCCAGTATTGATGAGTACCACACAAAGGGGAGCGGTGGCGCAGTGGTTAGCGCACTGCGATATGACCCCAGCGGCGTGAGATTAAAACCCACGCCACGGGTGACATTGGACAGGCGGTGGTGACGCACGCATGGACGCCACGACTGCGGAGGCCAGGGTGGGTGAATCACCGCTCAAATCACACAATTTTTATGAAACTCCCTAGCCGTGGGCACCGAGGTGCCATTATACCCTGGCTCGCCATCAGAACGCAGCGCAGCAAACTGTGGACTGATATAATTTGCTCCTTCTGTGTGGGATATAGCGTTGCACCCTCACACGCGTCGGGGTTTTTTTTTTACGGGTGCTCCAGTTTTCTCACACACGTAGTATAAAAAAAGCACTCACCAGTTTAACACGTAGGCTTTCGCGACAAATATCTTCCATAATACAGGTTTTTGGATTAGATTGCTTAAGCAATGGGCTCGCATAATGCGCAAGGATAATGTACGTTGATTACCATATCAATAACCAAAATGTCAATGGATACCCATAGTCATTGATATGCATTCATTTAGCCTCCACTTCGCGCAAGAAGGCCACACAAGTGACGTCATCACATCTCTCCCTCGAAGGAACGAAACGAGAGGAGGATGTCTCCACAAATCTGGCTGTCGCCTGATGAAGCTGGTTGTAATCACTGGCGAAACTTCGTACTCAGATTGTTAATGTTGTGGCTTTGCTCTCCAACACACCGGTGTGCCTGTACTGGTAACGAATTGGCACGTTCTGTTCACGTGACAAACCTTACTAGTTGGCTGTGTCGGGTGGTGGCGGATTTGTCGAGGCTTACAAAGCAATCGTCTGCACCGGCTCACCGCTTGGCAGCTTTCCAGCTTAGTCTGTGGTTCCGTGGCGACTGTGAGATGCAACGATCACGAACGACAACACTATATAACATCATTAGTCTTGATTAAAAGTGATATCCAACCTCCTCCAGGGGCCACCCCCTTCACCAACCCACAACGACCAGCGCGGTGAAGTATGGTCAAACAACTCCCACGTGTCTCTTCTGCATTTAGCAGTGGAATGACAAACGGCTGCACTTTGTCACATTTTTATTTCTGAATCCCTACGCGGAGAGGGCGATGAGCGAGCCAGGCCAGTGGGGGGCGAGAGAAAACGGGGGCCGAGCGAGGCCGTGGGGACTCCGTTTGAGACCAGGGCCGCGCACCCCCTCGCCCGGGCTCAGAGGGCGATGTCGGCCCTGGAGCGGGCGGCGTTCGTTTCACGCGGAATTCGCGGCACCCCGGAGCGCAGCCACCAGTTAATCAATCGAACAGCTCGAGGAAGAACACAAACAAGCAGACAACACCCTCCCCCCCCCATCTTCCCACATGTGTCCCTCCACAGTCAAACTAAACGCTTCTTTACACGATTCCCATCGACCACACGGCCTTCTGGAAGTGATTCTTTTCAGCAGCAACCTCTGCACCGGTTTCGATGTTCCGTGTCTCACTGGCGGAGCGAAGTTTGCTGAAACCCACGCGGCTTCTCCCGCCGTTCTGTGCGCCTCTCATCCTGACTCTCCGGTTTCCTCCCATAGCAAAGCACATACACACACACACAACCTAACTGGTTTTTCACCAAACATCCCAATGCTGAAAAGTTATCCGCAAATTAACCAACTGGGATTGCACAGCTGCAACATCGCCCTCACACCCTCCCTATTACTGCGACAAACGTGGCAGGACCCTGTGGAAAAAACCTTGGGATTCAGTTGAGTCTTTTTTAAGATAAGAAGCAAAATTAAAAATACATAATCTTTATTGATACGGGAAGGTAGGTTTAAACTCAAACAATTCTATCAACCTATTTTTATTTTACCAGGTAAGGCCCACTGAGATATCTACACAGCTCTTTTTCAGGCACGACCTGGCTATCACAAATGATGGCTCAACGAAGTGGCTAATCATGTGGACATTGATAGCAAACAAATACTCTAAATGCACTTTTCTAAATTTTGAAGAAAAACCGGAAGACCCGGAGAAAATTTCACGCGACCACGAGAACATGTAGTCTCCAAAAATATACATCAGCAGGCGTCAGGACTGGGATCGAACCCATGCCCTCCACTAGACCAGGCGAGGTAGTTAACATCTCGTCAGCGTGGCGGTCAGATAATGGTGGTGGTGCTCGTTACTGGACATTGCTGGATGTGGACAACCCGGGAAGGCGTTTGTAGTGGGAGTGTTGTTGCGGTTACAAGTGGTGCAATGAATATGATTTAAAACCACGACTTACAGTCAACACGTGTTTTGCCCCGTCACGAGTGTATGTCCGTGACGGTGTTTGAACGCACGTGACGATCTTATTTGTCGTCGTTGGTTAGTGGGGAGGTGGATCGTAACACGTTTGGGGGAACCATTGCGTGACGGAACTCACACATCGATTGCCCTTCACAATATTGCCGACAAAACATTATACCTTGAATTTACTTGAGGTCTCTATCCACACTCGGAGCGCCTTGTTGAATTCCGCCTTGCCCGTGCACTATACAAACAGGCCACCTCAGCCTGTAAAGCGGATTGCGAGCTGATCGAGGAGTTCACGAGCCACACGGGAAAGCACACAGATTATTACATTATTACCACGACCGCGCACGTCTCGAGATGTCTCGACGTCTTTGGCCTGACAAAGCGCGCGCGCGCGCCGATTGCACAATCTGATCCATTTCGGTGAACCCGGATGGCTGAGAATTGGGTTGGCTTTGTACTTGAACGAAACTGTTTGTATTACAATATCGACATTTTGTAATGCAACCAGAGAACACGGGAACACGTCCGACTCGGAATGAGTCAGCACAAATTGCAATGGTAATTCAAATGTTCAGGTGACGAGAAAAACCCATCACGCAAAAGCAACATTTGCGCTAGTTGGTGGGAACAAATGTATTTAACAACACAGAGAGGCGTGCGGTGATGCACGTACAAACGGTTTTAGCCAGACTACCAGCTCTACATAACAACGTATGGTCATTCATAATAAAGGTTTTTGGGTTAGATCGCGTTATTTATAAATATGTCGTAACCCTCCACCAGCCGACACGGCCAATCAGCAAAAAAGTGTCAGGTTGACAAAAGACAAATAAATTTCGATTTAAAGCTTTCGTGACTGCAAGGATTCATCTTCTTTGGTTCTTTCGGTAAAGTCACGTAGAATGAGAATAAAATAATAAATTGATAAAATAAAATAACACAATAATATTCTCACGACGTTTCGGCCACAACACAAGCGGCCTTCATCAGGTGAAGGGACGAGACTGTCTGGTAGGACAGCGCTGGAGTGAAAAAAGCCACGTTCAGATCACGACCTTTAAGCTGTGTCAGAAGAAACAAAGCGCCTTAACAAAGGAATTAGCATAGAATTTAGCATTGAAATAGCTGAGTGATTAGCTTGTGACTGGTCACAGAAATAGCTATGTTAAAGTCAGAGCATACACATTCACAGAGGCACCTAGTACAAATCAAACAGAAGAATTTAGCATTGAAATAACTAGGAGAATTTAGCATTGAAATAACTGAGTGATTAGCTTGTGACTGGTCACAGAAATGGCTATGTTGAAGTCAAAGCCTACACATCTGAGCTATTCACAGTAACTGGGTATACACTACAATATATAATGAATACTATATAGTGAACCAATAAAAAACTAAAATATAAAATCAGCTAGCTGATTGGAGAATATATAGAGTTTATTGATAACATTGAGGTAATTTATATTTTAGTTTTTTATTGGTTCACTATATAGTATTCATTATATATTGTAGTGTATACCCAGTTACTGTGAAT